CACACACACACACACACACACACACACACACACACACACACACACACACACACACTCACTCACACACACACACACACACACTCACCTCTAATATGTATCGATATATGCCACCCTATATGATCGGTTGTGCAATTTCTGAAACTGCACTGTTACGATAACATTTACAACAACACAACAGTTAAACTTGTAACGTGTACACACCCATTCCTTTCTCACACCTTTTTTTAACCTACTTAATTGCGACAACACATCAATATCACCTCACCTGTGCACACGCCCATTTCAATCTAAGTAATGTCTACGCGTCCTTCACTATTTTTTTAATCACAGGTCTCGTCGACCGTCTCAGTGGTTGGGCTTCCTTTTCGTGGTCACCCTCAACTCTTGCCGGATCGTCTTGGATCATCTCCTCGCCCGTACTCTCCGATCTCATATCTATTACAGAAATGTGTTCGCGTGAACCCTCACCTTTCGCCGCTTGCTCTGTTGTTGCTGCCACCTCCTCTTGTGGCACCTTCACCGCATTACTTTCATCATTATGGCCAGCTTCGGTTTCCATCATCTCAGATATGCCCTTCAGCGCTGCTATTGTCACCACGAGAGACCCGAAAGAACCAACGTTTGTTGTCCCTTCGTTGGCCCCCTCTGTTGGCTGCTCTGTCAATGCGTCGGACTCCATTACATTGTCGTCGCCGTCCTTGAGTATCATTGTCGTATCCCCCATTGCGTTTCGTGGAGTGCTTTGTTGACCACATGCTTGCTCCTGTTCATTCTGCACTTGGCCTGCGTTCGCACGTGTGTCCGTTTTGCAGGCAGCGTCCCCTCGGGCGATCGCAACAATGGTGTTAGATGCGATAACGCCTTCAGTCCTTAGAGAGGTGACGCTATCGATTCCTTGCGCTGCAGGAGGCAGGTCGATTTTCCAATTGATGGAGCCGTACGACATACTTGATGGGAGGTCGTAGAACTTTGTGCTGAATTCAAGTTGTTTGTTCGCGCGCAGATGCTTGAACAAAGCTTTCGCTTTCGCTGCTATAGCCTCCTCGCTCGCACCTTCGTTTTCTTTCAAAACTCGTCGATGAATTTGCGTCTCCATCACGCTGTGCCATATCGCAGCGTCCTTTTTTTCCTTTGCGACCCAGCCTCGGTCTCTTGTCTTCATTGCCATCTGCCATGTCCCTGCGAACACGCACGGTTCGAACACACCCTCATGCCAGAGGATATGATGACCCCAATCGTCCTCCGATGACTCTTTGTACTTGTCCTGCAACAAGTATGGCACCGACGGGTTCGAGGCAAATCCTTGAGGCAACGGTCTTCCTGGCACGAGCTTCAGCTTGATTGCTGTGATGTCCAACTCTTCGTCGTCATCGGTGTCCATGGACATGACTGTTCTTTGCTCCGCCTGCGTTCCACGTGTCGATGATGGTCCGGTTGTCGGCGGGCCCATTGGGCACCCATTCTCTCCCCCCCCTGTGTTGCCCTGTGAGTTAACTGTCCCCTCGCCCGCRCCCACCGGGTTTATCGCTAYACCATTCCTTTCCCCACTTCCGGTGTTTCTTRTTTYCGCATTCCCCTCATTTGCATGTGTTGCTCCCATGCTCGAGCTCGGCCTCTCCGCAGGTCCATTGGTGCTCCCCTGCGGCTCTACTCCAGGCGCTCCCCCCACCGCACCTCGTGCTGCGCGCGATGGGATGTCCAGGTCGGAGTCTGATGTGTCTTCATCGCAATCGATGTTATTGAAGTTGCCGGCTTTACGTGCTTAGTCAGCATAGTCCCGGCTGTCCAGTGCTCTTTTCTTCATATTGAAATAGAGATGCTCGCAACGTGCGACGAACATGTGGAAAGCACCCATGTGGGAGCCGTGGTACTCGTTCATTGCCATCTCGATTTCGCTTTTCCTGAGGACGTAGTCGTTATCAAATGCCGACTGTGGAGCGCCACCGAACAAGTAAGCCCACACTTTATCCCTTTTCCTACCGAGCTTGTAGTATATGTCCCGGTCCTTGCGGTGCTCGACTTGGGGCTTTTCGAACTTGCATTTGTTCCTCGGGTCGTTCACGTTGAATTCCAAGAACTTGGAAAGGTAGGTGAGCTTCTTTGTCGTGTCGTCGCATGCAAACACGTGGTGTCCGGCCTTAGCCAGTTCCCATATCAGTCCCGCATGTGCCCTGCCCAGCAGCATCACGCCGTCATCCTCCCTGATGAACGAGCTGCATAGCTTCCGGAGACGTGCAGGCTCTCGTTCCATCCAAGAATAAACCGCTTCAGTGTCGCCCTCCACACCGATACACTCCCCTGAGTACCTCACAAATTCACCCTCTTCAATGTTCAAATTTGTGAGCTCCGCTTGCAATTTCGGCGCAATCGTTATATTGCTCAAGTTGCGGTTCTTGGCGTGGAGGACAATAGCCATCATGTCAATGTACCGAACCGCAATATTGCCGTACCTGTTCACGATCGTCGACGGTGTGTAGTGTCTGTACCAAGACCCGGTGAGCACCTCGACATCGTCCCACTTGTACACACTCTGCATCACCTGTCTCTGGTGCTTCATCGACGTGAAAATGATCAATGCCCATTTTTCGCCACAACACGTCGCGAGGAAATCGTGCAGTCTGGAAAAAGCGCCATCATCCCACGGAACACACTTGGGTGATGTTGACATATCAAGAATGGCTGCTCGTATCCTCATTCCCATCGCCATACCGACAACCTCCTCGTTATCGGTGAGCACACTCCCTTCGGTTCGATTTCATACAGCATGATCGTTGTGATCCTTTTCCCAACTTCCCAAAAGATGTGACGAGCATTGCAGGACATCCGATTTACCTCAGCCCTGAGTCGTCCAAGCGATCGATCGCCTCATAGATGAGACACTTGAGGTGGAACGGGGTTTCCTTGTACATGGCTTGGGTTGCCTCCAGCCCTGCACCGTTCTCACCATTTATCTCATCAGGACTGCCCAAACGCCTCGACACTTTCCTCACCTTGTCGTCAGGGATGTGGTCGCGTTCCTCGGTCCATTTCAAGTCGGTGAGGCCGTTTTTGCTATACCTCTCCATGATTGTCGTATAACCGATGAAGAAGTCTACGTTCCACTCATCCTTTGACCTCTCCTCGACCTTGAACAATATGTAGTTGAACATGCGGACCATATATCTCTCTCGCCGAGTATATTTTACTAGGTCCGCCATGTTGCACCCTCCACGCGGCACCATACGTGATGTAACGATAACATCAACACGCATTATGTGGTGTAGCGCCACTTGCTTCTCTCTCGCTGTCATATCCCCAAACAGCTTGAAGATGGAGGGCGTCAAGTCYGGTATAGACACCGTTGCGCCTGGAGGCCCCTTTTTGGCCTTGATGCAGTGGAACAAGATTTTTTTCCCGGAGTTGTCCTTGACAAAGTACTGCCCCGGCAACCTCCCTTCCACTTTCCCCGGCAGATCGATGTATTTCACACCGTCAACTCTTGGCAGCTGCCCTTCCTCGTACATTTAAAAAAATCTATCCACCAATGGCCACACCGTTTCGCCGCACTGCGCAAGATTCATGTATCCCTGCATCTTGTTTGTCCAGTCCTTGCAATACTCGTTCTCCAGGGACGACGTCACGAGACTGGAATCCGGTGTCATTTTGCAGGCGGCATTCATGAACTCTTCCCACTTCTTTTTTTGTTTCAATCCTTCCACGTCATTCGGGGACACGGTGCCTGGASGACGGATGCRGCCACACCTCTTCTCCCAATAAGTTCTGATTTGCCGCACCGACGACGAAAACGATCGCGGGACAGAACGTTCTTCCCTTGTGTTGTCGAATGCCGAGACATACGGATATCCTGTCTTTGTGTTGTCGTCAAAGTAGACAACACGCACGTGAGAATATGACCTCAAGCCGTATCTTTTCTCGGTCGGTGACTTGTCCACTATGAGTCTGTTCATAGCCTCAGCCGTGTGTTGGCCGGCAACAACATACCAGTGGTAAGCATACGCCTCCTCGACGTCGAATTCCTGTGGTGTGATCCGTCTGCCTTGAGAGCCGTCCCGGCTGGGCCCAATGGAGGCCAGGATGAAAGTCATGAAATCCCACTTGCCGTTGGTTTCCTTGGCCGCATTATGGATCGCATCGTATATGGACYGCACCAACGTTTCGTCCAACGTTCTGTGGTTGTAGAGGATGTCACCTTCCGGAATTGGCAAGATCTTCGTTACATCCACTTGAATGTGTACCCGATCCTTCCTCGCGTAGCCATCTTCATCGAACTCCAAGAAGAAGCACTTTGTTGTGTCCACTGTGACAGATCGATTGTCAGAGGAACGCTCTGTCTGTTCGGATGGAGCCCTAGGAGCAACCCCTTCGGCATCTTCTCCGGAGTCACCCTCATCGACCATCTGCTTTCTTTTCATCGGACGTTTCTTCGCTTTTGTCGCTCTGGTTGACGCCTTCCCTTTTTTGTTCTTCACGCTATCAGTGGCCGCCTTCTGAGAAGCTCTTAGTGCCTCTCGAGATACAGCGACTGTGAGTCTCTTAGCAGCACGTTTATCCGCCGCCCCCGTCGGACTTGTTGAAGATCGCCGCTTCCTTTTCTGCACACTACCCTCCGACCGATCTCCTGCTCCCTCATCGACCTCCATATCATCGGACCTTTCCTCCCCTCCATCCTCATCATCGGCGAGGCAGTCTTCATCATTTTCCCCACCGTCCCCATAGTCGCCCCCATCGAACTGTCAAGACTCTCCGTCCTCGCAGTCGGGCAGAGAGTCCTCACGCTCCTCGCCCTCTCTCTCTCGCTCGCTTATGTCCTCGTTGGCATCGTCCTCTTGGACTCCACATTGCTCATCGTCGACGACAAGATTACCCTGCGCATTCCGCTGGATATGAATCTTGGAATCGTTCTCCGTTTCTTCGTCTGATCCCTCACTCCTCTCTCACAGGGCTGCCCTCCTGGATGCACCTCCATCGCCCTCCTGGCGATCAGGAGCCCGAAGACCCGCCGATCCCTTCCTTGAGGATGTGACGATAGGGGTGCCTCCGCGTTGCTGGGCGGACTGCCGAGATGGTCCTGCACATTCCTTCAAGCGGGCCGATTCGACAGAAGGACCTCACGCCCCTTCCTCGGTGTGACAACGCGGCTGGCTCTGTTTTTTTCGACGCCGGCTCCCACCACCTTAGGTCTGTTGCGTTGGAAAACAATCCGCCGAACTCTGTCTCACTCTCTTCGTTATATCCAGGAGATCCTCGTCCGGCGTGTCAAAAGGCATGAGCGTCGAAGACATTCGATGCCCGGCCTGTACGATGGGACTGTTTCCAGATCGCCTGTACCCGTTTGTTTTGGCGAGGAATTTCACGGGGTCAAGTATTGTCAACACGCTCCGGTCTTCCTTCGGGGATACATCGAACGCTCGCATGGTAATCGCCTTAGCTCCATACCCCTTGAATAAATTGTAGTCAAGGCTGACTTTATGGTCAACCTTAGCGTGGTCCACTCCGTGTTCGTCAAACACTGTCGTGAGAAAGAACCTCCTGAACTTCCTTCCGTGCCCGTCCGCCCTCTCATCCTCGGATTTTATGATCCCTCCAAGACAGAACCAGTCGTCGGCCACGGCGTTCTTCAGGAACACAGCGGCCCCACATCCCGCCTCGTGCAGGCCCCCCACCCAATCAAGGGCCCACTCCCTATCCCTATACATCGAGGAGGTCTTATAGACCCTCTTTTCCGGTACACCAGATGCTCCTCCTGACGGTTGGCACAATCCGAACAGTAGAAGGCAAGGCATTCAGATATCAAACCTTTCTCTATCGGATCACGCTTCGAAAAGCCTCACCCCCTCCGAGTGCGTAGATGCGAAGCCTAAGGGGACGCTCACCCCCTTCTGTTGGGCACGGCRTTCTGATAACCCYGAACCCYCTCTCTCTCTCCCGGYCGAGAGGGAGCGGGGGTGCRGCGTTCCGRAAACGCCGTACCCCTACTCCGGGTGTGCACGCCAGAGGAGGAACGTTCCCGGAACGCCGTACCCCCGCTCCCTCTCCCCAACGAGATGGAGCGGGGGTACGGCGTTCCGTACCCCGTCCGGGTGCGAGCCCCGGACGAGGTACGGCATTCTCGGAACGCCGTAGCCCGCCTTATCTCGTTGGGGAGAGGGAGCGGGGATACGGCGTTCCGGGAACGCCGTACCGCCTCCGGGGTCCGCAGCCCGGAGGGGGTACGGCGTTCCAGGAACACCGTACCCCCGCATCCCCTGCCCAAAGAGATGGGGCGGTGGTACGGCGTTCGGGGAACGCGGTAACCCCTCCGGGGTCCGCAGCCCAGAGGGGGTACGGCGTTCCCGGAACGCCGTACGCAGTACCCCCGCTTCCTCAGCCGGTAGAGATGGGCCGGGGATACGGCGTTCCGGGAACGCCGTACCCCCTCCGGGCTGCGGACCCCGGAGGGGCTACGGCGTTCCCCGAACGCCGTACCACCACCCCATCTCTTTGGGCAGGGGATGCGGGGAACGGCGTTCCGGGAACGCCGTACCCCCTCCGAACTGCGGACCCCGGAGGGGGTACGGCGTTCCCCGAACGCCGTACCACCGCCCCATCTCTTTGGGCAGGGGATTCGGGGGAATGCCGTACCCCCTTCGGGCTGCGGACCCCGAAGGAGGTACGGCGTTCCCCGAACGCCGTACCACCGCCCCATGTCTTTGGGCAGAAGATGCGGGGGTAAACGCTGTACCCCCTCCGGGCTGCGGACCCCGGAGGGGGTACGGCGTTCCCGGAACGCCGTACCCCTGCTCCCTCTCCCCAACGAGATGGGGCGGGGGTACGGCGTTCCGAGAACGCCGTACCCCGTCCGGGGCTCGCACCCATACGGGGTACGGCGTTCCCGGAATGCCGAACCCCCGCTCCATCTCCCCGCAGGGATGGGTCGGGGGTAAGGCGTTCCGGGAACGCCGTGCCCCATCCAGCGTTCTCAAGGAGAGCCTTTTCATTGATTTTCCGAAAAAAAAAAAGGTGGGGGGAGATCGCGATTCTCCCCCCACCCAGTATGGCAAGCATACATAACCCAAGGCTATGGGAAGTGAGTATCACCAATGTAGCAATCAAGGAGAGCTTTTTTACTGCTTTTTCGAAAAAAAAAAAATGGTGGGGGGAGATCGCGAATCTCCCCCCACTCAGTTTGGCGAGCATACATAACCCAAGGCTATAAGAAGTGACTATCATCAATGCACCAATCAACGAGGGTTTTTTTAACTGCTTTTTCGAAGAAAAAAAAAGGTGGGGGGAGATCGCGAATCTCCCCTCACCCAGTTTGGCGAGCATACATAACCCAAGGCTATGGGAAGTGACAGTCACCAATATACCAATCAACCAGAGTTTTTTTAACTGATTTTTCGGAAAAAAAAGTGGGGGGAGATCGCGAATCTCCCCCCACGCAGTTTGGCGAGCATACATAACCCAAGGCTATGGGAAGTGAGTATCACCAATGTACTAATCAACGAGGGCTTTTTTAACTGCTTTTTCGAAGAAAAAAAAAGGTGGGGGGAGATCGCGAATCTCCCCCCACCGAGTTTGGCGAGCATACATAACCCAAGGCTATGGGAAGTGACAGTCACCAATGT